CACTGAGGCAGGACTAAGTATTATCTAGACCAGAGCTTCTCACAACAAAATTTTTGGTGGCCTCAGAATGCAGTCACCAACTCTTGCGGACAATTTTTCCGAAATACTTAATTAACTTTAGGAGAAACAAATAATTGTGCACATAAACACATCCAAATCATTGTCATTTATTTATATAGGGTTTTTTTGCAGACTCAATAATAAAAAATAATGTATAGTTATCTCTATTCTTTACTGAACCTCAACATCACAGAAACACCAATAAGGTGCTTTGCACATTCTTGTCTTTTTTGTTGTTTCTTTTGCTTTTTTGGTAAATTGTGGATGTCTGTACAACAATTCTACCCGGAGTTTGCGCCTATTCTTGTGCTTTGCGCATGTCACGAAGCAGGAGCCTCTCACTCTGCCTGGGAGCTGCCAAACCCTGCAGCACGTGGGGGCCACTGAAGTGCTTGCAGCAGCTATAGCAACTGTGAACAGCGAGTGCGACCTCAGGAGGGGGAAAAGGCTGACCTGTCTCTCTGTCCCTGCCTTCTGTGGCCCTTCAGCGAGAGCCCACCCCAGGGAAGATGGGTTGGGAACTCACTGGCTGCCTGCAGAATCCCAGGTTAACCACGCTCTGGCTGGTTGGGAGTGAGGGAACTGCCCAGGGGACTGCCCAAGTGACCAAATGCGGCAGCTGCCTCCACTGACAAGACTTGCCTCTGGCACCACCCACACCAGCCCCACATGTCTCCAGAGGCAGAGCCCCCTGAGGAAGCTGCGCAGTGCAGGGTGCCAATCTCTGCTGGTAGCACCAGTGCAAATACCAATGTGGCGCAGTTCACAGTCCTTAGAAACAGTTCTTCAGGAGCAACAGTTGGGTGCCACAGGGAGGGGCACTGGTTTGCCCCTCTCCTCTCCCCCACCCCCCCCCCAATATCCGCCCATGTTTTGGAGGCTGTCGTGGCCATCAAAAAACCCACAGTCGCTACATTTGAGAAACACTGATCAAAACGAGCCCTGACAGACCACCCAGGTCTAACTGGTTCTTTAAAAACTTCCAATGACTGAGATTTCACAACCTCCTAGGTAATTTGTTCCAGTGTTTAAACCAGTATTTACAGTTAAGAAGTTTTTCCTAATGTCTAACCTAAATCTTGCTGTAATTGAAGCCCATTACTTCTTGTCTTGTCCTCAGTGGAAAAGGAGAACAAATTATCACTAAGGCTGCGAGTAGTCTGTCATGGATTCCGTGACTTTCTGTGACCTCCGTGACTTCTGCAGCAGCTGGTGCTGGCTGGGGCAGCCCCATGGCTGGCAGTTTGGGTGTGTAGGGGAAGGGGGTTGGGGAGTATGGGAGGTGCTTACCTCGGGATGGGGGGCTTCCCGGCTCCCACTGGCATGGCCCCCCTGCAGCTCCTAGGCAGTGGAGGGGTATTCACATAGCATGCTGCCTGCGCCCACAGGTCCCGCCCCCACAGCTCCCATTGGCTGTGGTTCCCAGCCAATGGGAGCTGCAGAAGCCAGCACTTGTGGCAGGAGCAGTGGAGCCCCTACCCTGGCCCCTGCTGACTAGGAGCTGCAGGGATGCAGAGCCGGGTAGGAAGCCCCACTACCCCTCTCCCTCCCCCAGTACCAGCCCCACCCCCCCAGTACCAGCAGGGGTCCCACACCACCTCTCCAAGCACCCGTGGTGCCCTGACCAAGTTTTAGTCAGGGAGGGTATTTTTAGTAAAAGCCATGGACAGGTCACGGGCCCGTGAATTTTTGTTTACGGCCAGTGACCTGTTCATGACTTTTACTAAAAATACCCGTGACTAAAACAGCCTTAATTATCACCTTCCTCTTTATAAACAACCTTATACATACTTGAAGACTTCTCATATTCCCCCTCAGTCTTCCTTCTCCAGACTAAATAATCAAAGTTTTTCCACTCTTTCCTCATAGGTCTAGACCTTTAATTCATTTTTGTTGCTCTCTTCTGGGCTTTCTCCAATTTGTCCACCTTTCCTGAAGTGTGATGCCCAGAAAGGGACAAAGTAAATGAGTTAGCTCAAACAGAAGGTATTTTGCATTCAGGGCTGAAAGATTTGAACAGCCTTCCAGATTTTCTTTTTGAAAGCTACTTTGCTGCAAAATGCCAGAGCTATTGTTGCAAATATAGCATCCGACTGGAATTAATGGGAGTTGCCCCTGTGCACAGAGGGCAGAACTTAGCTCTGTGTGTGCGATTGTCCCAAAGCTATGTGGCGACCTTGCAAGCGGCTTGAATCTATAGGAAACATTGGCCCATGGAGTCCATATTTATGGTCTTCTACAGGAGAAAAGCCATGGGCATTTTCTGCTGGACAGAATCCTTTGAAGGTGACATTTCTGGCACTATCAACAACACTTCCATGAAGTTGGTGAACATCTAAAATGTTTTCAAACCTCGATGCTTAAAGTTAATGCCTATATCTACAGTTAGGCATCGGGCAGATTTTCAAAGGCACAAATAGCAGTTAGGTGCTCAAGTTACCACTAATTTTTGGGTACCCCCCATTTCTGGAAGCCCATTTAGGCTCTTTCCAAAAATCAATGATAGGTTGGGTGCATACTTCTTCGTGCTTTTGAAAAAAGGAGCCTTATTTTTGGAAATGCTGAGTGTCTACAAATCTCATTAACGTTGGCTTGAAAGTCAGGCAGTTTTAATTAAGATATCTAATATGGATTTAGGAGTCTGAATTTGGGCACCCAAATATTTTGGCCTTTGTTCTTTAATTGGCTCCTGATTTAATAAGGATGAAGGCAAATATAAACAAGGAACCTTTGTGGGTAAGGCACTGACTCCATGCTACCACATTGAATTAGAATGTTTATTCAACCTACAGTCATCATCTACCACCAGATTTTTGCCAGGAGAGATCCTTCAATGTGAATTCCCACTGAAGCCAACAGAAGCCCAGGTTGTGCAGCGCTTTGCAGATTTCGATGCTTTAGGGGGAGGCACAAAGGGCAGTTTAGACACCTATCTCCAGTTAATTTTCAGTGGGATAGAGAGGCCTAAACTGTCCTTTGTACTTTTGAAACTCTTCCTTACCACTCTTAATTTTTAATTGTAGTGACTGTCCTAATGATCAGGTCTCATGCAAATCATCCTGCTTAAGTGCCCCTTCTATACAAGCTTAAAACGGAAAAGTTTGATTTAGGAATTCTGCTGGGCTGCCTCACTGAAGTTTTAGTTCTGGTGCCTCATGACCATATTCTTTCATTAAACCTGGCTGAAATACATCTTCATGTTTTAGGATGTTTGTGTTCATTAAAAATACCCACAAAGCCAAACCTTTATATGGAAAACACAATTTGTTTAAAAAAAAATCATTTTGCCAAAACCCCAATTTTTTATCACAAAACAGCTTTGACCGAAAACTTTTCACCCACACTACAATTACATTAGGTCAGTGGTCCCCAAATTTTACCTCCCACCCTCCCTTACCCCTGTCTCCACCTCCCCCATCCCCGGAGCAAGATCCAGGATTGGGGTTCCGGCTCAGGGCAGGGGGGTGCGGAAGAGGTAAGGGGGCAAAGGCTGGGACCCCAGCTGGAGCCAGGGACAGGGCTGAGAGCAGAGCCTTGGCCAGGGGCCCCGGGAACAGGGGCCGGAGCCAGGAGTGGAGATGGGTGGTGCTCCCGCCCCACTCCCCCGAACATTCCTCTGTGCCCCCCTGGGGGGGGGGGCGCTCCCTACAGTTTGGTGACATCTACACTAGATTTTCCTTTTTATTATTATTATTCGTTCAATACTCAAGTGCTGTCATTTTAGGGAAGATACAGTGTGTTCATAAATATCGATGTTGAATCCCCGCTTTAAGTGCAAAACTCAACCTTAACTATGGAGCTGAGACCTGCACCTCAATAACGACTTAGTTTTAGAGCTGCTTGTTTTGTCTGTCTCCTGTCTTGCTGAAACACCATTTCTCCCAGATACAGCTTTTACCTCAGTTATTCAGTCAGAAGTTCAAAGTGCTGTACCTGCCCTAGGTCTCCACATTTTGTGGCGGACTCAGGGTAGGTCTGATCACTGTTTCTTTACATGCATCAGTAACTCCTTTCCTCATGCGAGGCCTATGCTAGTATTACTTGGCAGCACAAATGAAAAACCAACTCCCCACCCCACAAACAAGCACCCTTTTGGCAGACAACAATGAGCGCTAGACCATTAGGGTTCTACAGTATCATTGGTTTGTTTTTTAAAAGATTTACAGATAGAGACTTTTACTGAGCTGGTTTGTTAACACTTGAATTTCAGTTACCATCATTTCTACATTGCAAGTGGTACCAATACCCTGCATTTCTACAGTACCTTTAATTCACGGATCTCACCTAAATTGAGCTTCTCCACATACTTGGAAACTAGGCAAGTATTCTGGATATCCATATTACGCACAGGTAAACAAAAGCTGAGACACATTAAGCTATTTGACTAAACTCAAACTGCAAGCCAATAGCAAAGCTCTGAATAAACTCAGGAATCATGAAGTTAAGTCCCCCTGTTCTAACCATTAGATACAGCACTGTTTCTCCTATGGCTACTGCCTGCTTTCACTTATTGAAGTCAACTATGAAAAACTGTAGAAAATTCCCATATGGAGTCACACACAGCAGTTCTGTGAGCACTGGAAGTATTTTTTTTAATTCAAACAGAGGTATGTTTCTTGCTGCTGCTGCTGTTTTGGTACAAAGAAAAAAGCTAAGTAGGAAAACAAATATAATGCCATGAGATCAAAAATATTGTCCCACCAATCTGGGGTTCATGTGATATGGGCAACATTTGGTGGGGTACTGTAGGATTTGTTGTTGTTACAGGTTGTTTTTTTAACCACTTAAGTGCTTTGAAGAACCTGCCATGTCAGTTCCTGTAGCTTACTCAAGTTTGGCCACATTTTTCAGCAGATAGCACTGTATGAGGGCCCAAAATACAAAGTACACAATATGCTACTCAGTGGAGAAGAATGAATTTGTACAGGTTTTGTACTCACGCAGAAGTCGTCTGCATGTCGTGCCAGCTTTTGCTAAAGTTCTGTTTCAGCTCATTCATCAGGTTGATACCAAGCTTTTGTTTTATTTCTGCCAGGTGCTTTTCTTTGGCTGCTAACACTTGCCGTAAAGTTGAAATTTCATCCTCTAGCTGAATAGAATAAAAAAAATGTTAGCTAGTCATGGAAAGATAAATAAGTATCACATGGTCAGAGTTAAAAATCTCTACTGAGGTTCATGTGAATCTGTATTTGACAGTGAGGCATATGTGGGGGAAAAGGGATTAGAGCAGTTTTGCTGGTCCCTGGGAAGCTGCCCAGACGACCACATCCATTATTAAAATTCAGCTCAAAATGCACATTTCCTTAAATGTATGACCCCACACTCCCCACTCCATGCACCTAGTAAAGGGGAGCGTTATCTCACCATTGGGAAGTAACTGTGCAGCAAGAACTGCTTGGGGGCATCACGAGTCTTTAAATGACACAAGCACTTAATTCACACAGAAAATGGGAATGGGTAGGAGCAGAGGAAGACCATTTAACACAGCCGTCTTCCTTTGAATGCGTGAGCTTTGCATTTCCTATTTACAGCTTCAGCGTAAAAAGTATCACAACCCTCCAGTCTTGGACCATATAAAATACTCACCCTCCCCAAATAGGTTTTAAATAAAGAGCATTGTTTTTCAAAAAAGCATTATGCTTTTTCTATGTGAGACTTTTAATCTCTGTTGCTGTTTTATATGTTTGAAATAAAAAAAAATGATTTTTTTTAAAGCATTAGATGTTACCAAGGGTGGCCAAATATTAGTCTGAGTACAACAGAGACTCTTATAGTGTAGATATAGGGACTGCTATTGGAACTGGCCCTTGTTTAGGAGGTTTGGGGTGTCATGCCATAAGCCACCTTGCCCAACCCAGACATGTCCTCCTCAGGGCTAGTAACAATCTGGCCCATAATTTATCAAATCATCCCAATATAAAGGGGAAGGAGTCATTTCTAGAGTAAAAACTTCACTACGTTTAAGGTACCAGCTATAGAGCCTAGAACAACTTAGTGCTCACACCCAGACTCCACATTATAGGCCTGGTTCTCTGCTCCACTGCAGCTCCTTAATGTCACTCCAACAGCTAAAGGGGCTGAATAGATAGAGTTGAAGAGATCACCGGGAATTTTCCTGGCAAAGGAGGAATTCCTACTTTTATATAAAGCTGACGGAGCAGAGCTATACCATCTCTGTCACATCCCCTGGTATGTGGACGTGCCAGGAGAAAGGGAGTGGTTGAAGAGCACTCTCTACTCTGCCTATCCCACTGGCTATAGGGATCCATAGGCACGCCAAGCATAAAAGCTAGAGCAGCAGCCCTGAAGACCTGAGAATGTCAAAGGCAAAAATATGTCTTAAAGTAACTTTGTTTGTCCACACCCAGCCTGGGAATGGAGGAACAGAGAATCAAGGCCTATGCCTTTGACTGTCTATTTCTGAAAAGTTTTTAGACTTGATAACGACAGACTAAATTTTACTTACAGGGGGGAAATCAGTGGGACTCCTTGCATAGACACAAAGAAAGCAGAAACTGCCCTATAACCTGCCATCTAATCTTTAGTAACATTTCAGTTAAAGGGAGAAAAAAAAAAGTCAAACTAAGAACTGACCTTGAACTAACCAACTTGTGCATGAATAAGGTCTAAAGAATATGTTCAGTCAAAAGCAATCTATGGTGCTACTTTTCGTACTCTGGCAGACATGTCTTTTCAAACACATTTTATACAAAAATAATGCTGTTATCTACCTAGGACATTTGGCTATGGAGAGGACAACTAGAAACAGTTCACCATTTATTCAATCTTCTCATGCCATTAGTCTGCATAGGGCTTAAAATCTCTACTTCACAAAACAGGCAGCTGCATGTAATAATTAAGTTGCAGTAGTGGTGAGGGTGAAGGACAAATATATAGTTATTCTTGTCAACACAATTAGAATTTCCATTAAAGCTGTTTTGTTTTTTCCTGTGTATCCTATTTATAGATATCGAAGAGTAGGGTGGCCAACTTTCTAACGTCTGAAAATTAGACCCCCCTAACCCGCCCCTTCTCTCAAGGCCCTCTTCCCCCAGATCCCACACCCCACTCACTCCTCACCTGCCTCCCTCACTGCTTTCTCCCTTCAACTCCAGTCTGAGCAGCCCCAAGGGACTGGCCCTGCTGGAGCTGGGGTTGGCACCTGGCAGTGCAGGTCAGAAGAGTGCTGTGGCTGCACAGGAGCTGCCAGGTAGCCCCACCAGCAAACTAGGGCGCGGCCCCTCTTGCCCAGCAGCCTCCCGCCTCTCTCGGCGTTGCCTACCCAGCAGCCCCCTTCCCACCTGCTGGAGCTGCCCGAGTGCGGCTGGGGGGGGGAAGAACCAGCTGGTGGGGCAGCTCACGCTCCATGCTTGTGTGTATGGGAAGATCTTGGTAGATGAGTAAAATGCCAGGACCACTACCAATAATTGGAATATGCATTATCATACTTATTGCCAAAAGCAACTAAATCAGTAGGTCTTAGTAAGCCACTGGAAAGACCTTAGCATAACTAAGCAAGCGGGTGGGGGTGGGGTTTGACCCTCTGTCCTTCCTGATAAGATCTCTGTTGAAATTGCTGAGATGTGTTTTAGAAAAACAGGAAGCTTATCCATATCTGTCCTTTGGGATGTGTTTGTCAGGGCCCTCAAAACATGCGGGCTCTAGAAAAAAAAAAAACACATCTGTCTAATTGATGGTTTAAGAAAAACTTCTTGCTTAACCTTTGAAATTGCTTGCTTAACAAGTTCTTTTTTTGATTGACTTGTTATTGTTGCACTAACTCAAATAAATAAGGAGAGAAAGTATGGGGTAGTTGGTAGGGTTACCATTCGTCCGGATTCCCCCGGACATGTCCAGCTTTTTGAGCTAAAAATAGCGTCCGGGGAGAATTTGTAAATGTCCAGACTTACCCCCGCCCCCCCACGCAGAGCGCGCACACGGCTAACAGGGCAGCCGGCCGGATGGTGCCACTTACATGGGGCTCCGACAGCCAGAGAGAGCCCCTCCTCCACTTCTCCTGCAGCAGAGATCACTCCCTCCCTCCCTGCATTCGCAGATTGCCTCCGGCAGTCTGGAGCCCCTCCCCTGCTGCCCAGCCTGCGAGCGGCATGGTAAAGGGGCCAGGCGGTCGGAGAAGGGGCAGGGAGGTTCTGGAGGGGGCAGTCAAGATATGGGGGGGGCTTTCTGGGGGAAAGGGATGGATAAGGTTTTGGTCAGTCAGGGTACAGGTAGGGGGTAGGGTCCTGGGGGGCGAGTTAGGGTGGGGGGGGTCTTAGGAGGGGGCAGTTAGGGGACAAGGAGCGGGGGGAGGGTTGGGGATTCTGAGGGGGGCGGGAAGTGGGAGGGAGTGGAAGGGGCAGGGGCGGGGTTAGGGCGGGGCTCCTCCCGTTCTCTTTTTTGCTTGCTGAAATATGGTAACCCTAGTAGTTGGACTTTTCAGGAACACTTCGTGGACACATTGTAGGGTCCCGAGTGGCCGCTGAAAGACAGGCCAATTGGACAGCTGTTGTACCACTTGAAGACCGCTTCAGACTTCGGTAATTATTAATTTTGGGGGCGTTTTACTAACCTGTTGTGGATGTGTGTGTAAGTGTTTGAGACTAAATAAAGTGGAGCTTTAAGTGGAAGCACTCTTGTGGTGTACTGATTGTGCCAACCACCCATCAGATGGCCCATTTCCATTGATTTATTTCTTGCCACTGCCTCACCAAGAGTAATTGTTACCAAGGGCTTTGGATGTTTAGAACCAGGGTAACACACTGGGAATCCCTTATCCTGCTCACTATGGATCCCCGCACTCTGTCCTCAGCTGCAGCCCTGCAAACCACGCTCTTCAAAGGAGCTGCTTGTGGCCTGAGCTGGTGCATGTGTGCATGCTGCCACAGGAGCTGCCACTTCAGGGCTGGACACAGGCTGCCACTCTCACACCCTCTCCTCCACACACACCTGCAGTAACTGGACTTTTAGTGTCTGGTTAGTATATCTGATCAGATACTGCCAGGTTCCCTTTTCAACCTGACTTTCTGGTTGAAAACCAGACATCTGGCCTGGGCCAGCTCCAGCATTTCTGCCGCCCCAAGCAAAAAAAAAAAAGGCCGTGATGGCAATTGGGGGAAAAAAAAAGCCGCGATCGGCGGCGGCAGTTCAGCAGCAGGTCCTTCGCTCCTAGAGTGAATTGCCCCCGAATTGCCGCAGGTGCCGCCCCTCTCCCTTGGCCGCCCCAAGCACCTGCTTATTAAGCTGGTGCCTGGAGCCGGCCCTGCATCTGGCAACCTTATCTAAGTGTCCTGGAATCCCCTTTATCCTATTGGACATTGTATGATTTAACCCTCTAAACTGCAAAGAATTAGGCAAGCACTAGTGAATAAAGCACTGACTTCCAAGGCTGGTTTTATGTTATTGATCCCAGAACTATTTTTATCTCGCACACTAATACATTCTCTTACTCTGAAAACAGATCAAAGGTTCACTGGTCTTTTAAAAATCCATCCCCAAGACCAGCAACATACAAGACCAGGGGGAAATTAAAAAAAAAAAAAAAAAACTGAGTATTTTTATATAATCGGATATATGCACACACACACACACACACACACTATATATCTTCTTTTGTTTGTTTAAATAAATACACATCAAGCATACCTGACAGCCACTCATTCTATTAACTGATTTCTTGTAGGCATCAAGAAAGAAGTGGGCCTTGAGGAAGGATTTGAAGGAGAGGCTAGCTGTCCTTACTGAATGACACAGGGAGAACACAGGTATAAGGAGAGTGTGGCATAAAGCACAGAGATAACTGTGAGAGATATGTACTATTGGGCTTGTGTGTCAAGATTAGTATCACTGGTGGAGTAGAGGGTAGAAGAGAGCTCTACAGGAACCTGAAGCTAAAGCAGGGAGGGGAGATTGTCAAAGGCAAAGGAATAACCAGCAGCTACATCCAACTCCCGCTGAAGTTACTTTCAGTGGTAGTTGGGAGCCTAAAAGCTCTTTGTGCCTTAGGACATGTCTTCACTGGCACCGTTAAAGTTTAACAGCTTGTGTAGTCATGGCACAGCGCTGGGAGAGAGCTCTAAAAAAACCCCACGTCCACGAGAGGAATAGCTACCAGCGCTGGGAGCACGGCTGGTGCACTGTCTACACTGGCATTTTACAGCGCTGAAACTTGCAGTGCTCGGGGGGGGTGTTTTTTCACACTCTTGAGTGAGAAAGTCGCAGCGCTGTCAATTGTCAGTGTAGAAGAGCCCTTAGGAAAAATAAAAATAAAAAATCTCTTCCAGGAAACTTGATCTTAATTTAATTATAGCCTTAGAATCTCCCCAAATTCTCCAGACTTTTTCTAAATGCAATGCTCAAGTGTTTTCTCTTTGAACATAATTACATGCCACTAGAATGCCGTGAGCAATTTAAAACAGTCTTAAAACAGCCCAGCTGACCTAGATACTGTAATTCTAGTGACGACAGAACAACTTTCAATTTGTCTTTGAATACTTAAATTAAGGGTCTCATCCTGTGTGGTGGGTTCCGAGTGCCCTCAATTCCTGCTGACAACAATGAGAGTGAAGGGTGCTCAGGACCTCATAGGATGAGACTCTTGGGGAACTCATTATTTGCAGGTAACTACAAGGAGTTTTCTTTATTTTCCCCCTTCGCTCTCTTTCAGTCTGCTCTGCCAGAAGAGTATGCAGATCAATGAACCCAAGAGCTAGTGTGTGCGAGCTGACACACATTTGCTTTAAACATGAAATAACTCCTACCCCATCCGCATGTCCTGAGCCAGATATATAAATATAATCAACAGTCATACATAAGCTTCCTTTCTATTATTTACAGGTGTACAAATTCACTATAGAAGCAACATGTAGCTAACATTTCAGAGACATTAGCCTTAAAAGCCCAACTGGGCAGAAACAATCACTTGGCTTTTACTCCTTCAGGAAATCACAAGTCAGTGTACAGAATGAATCAAACAAAAGTCTCAGTGGCTTAGTTAAAAATATCAGATAAGGTCATGGAGGATAGGACAATCAATGGCTATTAGCCAAGATGGTTAGGAATGGAACCCCATGCTTGGGGTGTCTCTAAACCTCCAACTGCCAGAAGCTGGAGCAGGATAACAGTGAACGGATCATTTGATAATTGCCTTGTTCTGTTCATTCCCTCTGAAGCACTTGGCACCGGCTATGGTCAGGAGAGAGGATACTGGGTTAGATGGCTCACTGGGCTTACCCTGTATGGCTGTTCTTATGACTATTAACTGCAATTTAAATATTTTTACTGCATAGTGGAGAGAGACTAGTCTCTGCTAAGAACTGACCTTAGAATTACATCATCTAGTCCTGTATCAGTGTCCTGTAGTTGCCAGTACCAGATGCTCCAGAGGATGGTTCAATTACAGAAGAACTTTCCTATGACCCTGCCAACTGTTAGTGTCTACTCATACACTGAAGCTTGAAGGTTTTTGTCTCTTCCAAAATGTTTGGCTTATTAAAATCCCTAGAATTGGAACTTTTATTGTTTTGAATTTCCCACCTTCTGGTTTCACTGATTGTCTCTTTCTTATTGTATTATGAGAGATTGAATAGAAGTTCACAATCATTCGATAATTTGATAAGCCTGATGTTGACTCTCTTCCTAACCTCACCAAAACTAAATCAATAGTGCCATGTAATTTCATCCAGTTCAGGCTCCCCCAGTGTCCTTCAGTCATTTGGGATTTTTTTTTTTTTTGCAAATTCTCTTCACAGTACTGTAAGAAGTTGTGTTGTCATGACGTTGCAATCACCATCAGTGTCGTTTTCTCTTAAGAATCATGTAATCAGTTCTTTTCAGTAAGTGTATCATAGGCTAGCTGGCCCTTCCAGAGAGAGAGATATCTCAGCCCATCTCTGACACAGCTGATTTGCCTCCCCAGGTGGAAAGAATGAATCAAGTAACAGGACAGTCAGTCATGTGACAAAACCAGGCCTCTGAGGGTTAGAAAAACAGAAGCTTGTGAACAGCTAAAGTGAGGCACTGCAGAGTGGAGCTGCAGGAAGAGACACTATCTTGCACTGGCCCCTCAGGAAGGTAGAAAGTTTTGTCTTCCATTTGGGGAGTGGCAAAAAAGGCAGGCCAGGCTGTAGGTCTTCTCCTGTGACCAGAGAACGAACCAATACCTGAGGGAGGAGGAGTTGGGCCCAGCTTTAAGGGGTGGGAGGAAGGAAGACCTTCCATGTTTGTTTTGGAGCTTTGTTTTAAACACACCATACTTCAAGAAGAGTGGTTGTTACTGGACTTATGAAAGCCTTTTGTGCATGAGGAGTTGTGTATTGAGGAGCCTGGAAGAGGGGAAACCGAGGCAGGGTTCTTTCAGGAATCTTTCATTCACTATATAGGCTGCAAATTTAAGACTAATGACACATGGCTCGTCTGTTAAAATAGCACACCCACTAATTTTACCTCTGCCGTCAAGAGAGGATTCGTTTTCCAAAAATAATCTGACAGAATGAATCACCTTGCACTATTCTAGTCTAGAATAATTAAATAAAGGAAATATAATGTACTTGTGACATACTGCACTTCATCCTGCTAATAACTTCCAAATTCAGGAGGTATAACTATTAATATCCAGAGAATCAAAAAGCATTACCTTGGCTAGCTCAATCTTTAATTCTTCTCTCTCTTCTTCAGAAATCATGCTTGTGAAATCAATATCAGTGACCACTTCTTCATCTGTCTCGTGCAATGGCTGCGTTTCCAGCAGACCTTTGAAAATAAGAAAGGAATAGTCAATAAAACTCTTACAATACATTTACTGAGTGGTGGCAGGGAGGGGGCAGAGGGTGACCAACTGTACGAAACCTAAATAAAGGCCTAACTTTTGTTACTTTTGCACTAGTGTTATCCAGGTCTTTCTGATACAGCCCATTTGGAGTCCTCTTTTTGCTTTTGTAAACCTATTGCAAATGATAGATTATCACAGAATCATAAAAATGCAGGGCTGGAAAGGACCTCAAGAGGTCATCTAGTCCATCTCCCTGCCTGAGGTAGGGTTAAGTATGCCTAGGCCATCCCTGACAGAGAATTTTAAGAACAGGTTAGACAAACACCAAATGATGGGGATTCCACTCCCTAAGTACTGTTCCAGTGCTTAAATAGCCTTATAGTTAGAAAGCTTTTCCTAAGATCCAACTATGATGACTGGAGCTTGATGGACACATTACCTAGTGGTTAGGGAGTCTATTTTTTGATTTTAAATGAAAAGGGGAACTGGAAGAGGAGCCTGGGCCCTCCCACTCCACCGGGCTACGGTCCCAGACCCTGTGGGGGTTAACAAAAGCCACCCATGAGTGCCTTAGGACTGCCATCCCTGGGACACTTGCTACCTCCCACTCTATAGTCCAAGCTTTGCAGTCTGTAGCAAAACTGAAAAAAGGTACTGACTGTATCTTTAGTCTGACAGAGCCGACCACATAGGTTCCTCTTTTTCCAGAGGAGTTGCTGCAGCACCCCTTCTCAGGAGCACCCAGGACAGGTCCTTCTCTCTCTGCCTTGTCAGCCCCTTTCTGAGCTGTCTGGCTTCCTTTTAAGCTCCATCTGGAGCATGCTCTGCAGATGTGGCTGGGCCCAAAATTGTTCACGTGAGGCTTAAACACCCCATCACACCAACCTAGATCTCTCTTGCTGTAAATTAAGCTGATTACTTCTTGCACCACCCTTGTGGACATGGATAACAATAGTATTTTGTTGTATAGTTTTTGTATAATATTGACCTGAAGGCACCAACAAGATCAAAAAAATCAAATATCACTGGATGCAGCATACAACGCTACTGCATCATGATATAATATAGAATAAAACAACATGAAAAACCTAGCCTTTCTTCAAATTAAAAAAATAAATCAGTTAATAAATATGGATCATTGCTGTGTGATGTCCACAACAAGGATGACAATATAACTGGTCGATATAGCATTATGTTATACAGTAGATCAATATACACTATATTTTTCACGTTTCTTGTTCATGGTTATGTGGCTATCACTTATTTGCACTGTAGTGTCCAGGACGTGGATCTCCTGTGCGGTCTGGTCCAGGCTGAAGTTGATGGTGGGGTGGAAATTGTTGAAATCTAGGTGGAATTCTTCAAGGGCCTCCTTTCAGTGGGTCCATATGATGAAGATGTCATCAATGTAGCGCAAGTAGAGGAGAGGCACTAGGGGACGAGAGCTGAGGAAGCATTGTTCTAAGTCAGCCATAAAAAATGTTGGCATACTATGGGGCCATGCAGGTACCCACAGCAGTGCCACTGACTTGAAGGTATATGTTGTCCCCAAATCTGAAATGGTTGTGGGTGAGGACAAAGTCACATAGCTCAGCCACCAGGTGTGCTGTGGCCTCATCAGGGATACTGTTCCTGACAGCTTGTAGTCCATCCTCATGTGGAATATTGGTGTAAAGCTCTTCTACATCCATGGTGGCCAGTATGGTGTTTTCAGGAAGATCACTAATGCATTGTAGTTTCCTCAGGAAGTCAGTGGTGTCTTGAAGATAGCTGGGAGTGCTGGTAGCCTAGGGTCTGAGGAGAGAGTCCAAATAACCAGATAATCCTGCTGTAAGAATGCCAATGCCTGAGATGATGGGGCATCCAGGGTTTCCAGGTTTATGGATCTTGGGTAGCAGATAGAATACCCCTAGTGAGGGCTCTGGGGGTGTGTTCGTACAGATTTGTTCCCGTACTGTAGCCGGGAGTTTCTTGAGCAGATGGTGTAGTTTCTTTTGGTATTTCCTCAGTGGGATCAGAGGATAGTGGCCTGTAGAATGTGGTGTTGGAGAGTTGCCTGGCAACCTCCTGTTCATAATCTAACCTGTTCATTATGACTACAGCACCTCCTTTGTCAGCCCCTTTGATTAGGA